CCTTATCCTTTATCAAGATGATTTTCCCTGACCCTTATCAAGTTGCTTCCATATCAAATGATATTAATTATCAAACAATCGTCAGTTTCTTTGCCAGGCCCTTCTGAGCAGTATTTACATATCAAAACCAATTTGAAGTGTGCGGAGGCAAAAGCAAAAGCCGCATGGCAACAAATACAAGCCTAATCATCCGCAGGGGGAATTTATTATACAACCAACTTCACATGGGGCCAAGGGACGGAAAGGAAAATGCGAACAAGAGCTTAACATAAAATATTTATAAATATTTCATATGCGTAATCGACTTGATTGATTTTGCAATTTCACGCAAGCCGAAACAACATGCGAAGACCATCGGCAACGGGGCAGACAACCAAACTTGGTGGATAAGTATCAAAGAAAACGTTAAGGCTGAACTCTCGGCTATTTGGGGGCGGTTATGGTAAGAGTTTCCTAAGTGATTTGCAAAGGTGTGTGGACAGGAGGGGGATGTGAGCAAGTCAGATAGGGCGCATTATGATAATGTGCGCACAAAATAACAAGTTACGGACACGCCTCATACATCGTAATTCCCTTGACCGTCGGATTGGCTTACAACTGTGTGGCTTTTGGCCTGTGCTAGGCAAGGAATCTGGCCATCTTCCCGCAAGAAAATGGGTTTAGTGCCTAACGCCTCCTGGCAATATTTTTATGAATTTTTTAAGGTATTTTACGCAATCTTAGTTAAAAGGTGGCAGAGTGAGAAGTGGTAGGCTTGGTAAAATTTAATGGAACTACACTTTTGAGATAGGAGGAAGGCATGTTTCGGACGGAAAAACTAGAGATGGCCAAGAACCGGTCTTTACTCTAACTGGTAAAGTGCCGGAAGGTTACTTTAGTCGGTAAATAAACTTATCGAAAAACAAACATATTTTCTGCTCTCTTAAAATTTATCGCTGTCAGGTAAAAATTAATTTATATTTAATTTCTATAAGATTTTGAAGCTTAAAACAAAAATGTTTAGAATTATTTTGACATTTAGGTCCAGAATCAAGATTAATTAAAACATTTATTTTTGAATTTATACCAAAAATTTGTAAGAAATCAATTGCTTAAATCATAACTCAAATCAAGAAACATTCGTCTTTTTTGGTCTGGGAGAAATCTTCTTTCTAGCATAACATTATTAAGGACTAGGGAAAATTTACATCGTTGCATAGATCCAGTTAAAAGTTGTATAAAAATATATATATTTGTTTATTTAAAATACTTACCACAAATAAAGCTGCACGAATTTGCTGAGACTTCAAGAAAATGTTCATTGACATTTTTATCAGCATTTTCTCGTAATCATGATTTCATGCTACAATAAGAAAGAAGTTTAAAAATGCATCAGTTGGCTGTTAAAAAGAGTTATATAAAATTTTAAAAACTACACACAAATGACTTATGTCACAACCATACTTAAAAATAAGTAAAGCGATATGCCAGATGATGGCAGCATATGATTTAAGAACAAGAAGTGAAGCTAACTTCCATTTAATCACCAAGAATCGATTTGATTTGGCCAAATCAAAATAAAACTATTATCACCATTTAAAATAAAATCAAATAAAAATTAAATAAATAATATTAAAATTTATAAACAGCATATAATAATTTGTTTATGATAACATTTAAAAAACATATTTTTTAAAGCGAATAAGGTCAATATATCTTAAGTTTGAAATAAATATTATATGGTAAATTATTAATATATATGCTGACAAAATAAAGCCAAGTAATATCAAGATTCATTACATTTACCAAACCATATTATATTTACAGTTTCACAGTTGCAGTTTTACATTCACATCTTTACATATTCCCCACATCTACTAATCGTTCATATGGTATAGTCGGATTTTCATAAATATTAAATCGAAATTCTAAAATAATACAAAATGCCCTATCTTAAGGGGGGATATACATATGTACATGTAAACCAATATATTTTGATCAAATTTTGTGTTAACGTGGGCGCATCAAAAACTTTAAACGTCATTTTCCCAGCTTCTAATTTTTGCATTTTTACCTATGCTATGGACACGATTCACAAAAAACTATGTAACATATCGGAGTGAATAAAAAATTATTATGATCAGCATGAAATTATCTTCTATTTGAACCTAAATGGGGGGTAAAAATGAGTACTACTCAGCTATGGCTGGTATCCATCCTGTAGCTTAATTTAGAATTAAGCATACAGCGTACAAATAAATAAATAAAATTAGTATTACTATTTTTTAAGAGGATGGGAAGTGAAATATGATTCCCTGAAAATAGCATTTTTCCTTCAAAACAGCATATTTTCCATAGGTCCGCCATTTCGTAAAATATTATTGATAACAAAATTTTTTTATCATCTCCGATTCTACTTTTAACAATCTCCAAAGTTTTACGACTATTTCCTACACTAAAAAATATACGAAAAATGACTATATGATATAGCCGTCCGATTCAGCGTATATACGAGTAACAGTAGTCAAAAGACAAACTTCTTGCAAACTTCAGACTAAAATTACAAATATTATGAAAAGATTTAAATGTATTTTTAAATATTCCAAATTTAATTTTTTTCGTTTTTGTTTCCAAATGAATTAATTTATAGTTTAATCTTAAAACACTTTATAAAAGCAAATCCCCTTTATATCCTCCCTATAAATATGACGCACCGATTCTTAATTGTTCTAAATTTCTACGTGCCCAATTTAACCTCCCTTATCGCCGGTGGAACCATTCAAAATCAATTTCAATGCACTCTGGGGTGCTTTAAAAGTTGGCCCAGAAACAAATCGGAAAAACTAAACTAAAAGGAAAAGGTGAACATTAGGGATATTCTCTGGTAATTATAGCTAAGAATTATAGATCTCCCCTGGCGTCAGCCCCAGAACGGGCATCACGTTAAAATTAATTCGTTGTGGCAGTTGTCAACAGGTTTGACCCTTTCGCGTGAATAATTTGAAATATTCCATCAAATCTAAAAGTGAGGGTAAAAATTCAAATTTTTCCGTCAGGGACGACCCCTCACATCCAATCCTGCTTTATTCATTAGGTTTGATGACCAAAACTCTCGCGTGTGACTTTATGTGGTTTTGTGTGTGGTCTTGCTCCCAGATTTGGGAATTCATTTTTAGGGTTGGGGCGTAATGTAATTGGATTGTCAGCGAGAAGTGGCGGCAGCTCAAATTATTTTCAGACTTATTCTCTTAAAATATGCATGACCGACTCACGAAAGATAAATGAGATTCTCTTAGAATATACGAAAAATCAATGTTTCTAAAATTGTATATAAGTAAGATTGATCATATATTACATATACTAAAATTATACACAAATTGCCACAATGGTGCTAATCTGTGAGTTATGTATTTAAATGCATTTAAGTTCCAATCAAAAACTACAAACTATGAAAGCGAAAATCAGAATTCACAGAGCCCATAAAATGAATACAAAACTCACATAATAACAACAAACTAAAGAAGAGCGGGTTGAGAGCAAACCTAAAGAGATTTGATATGATTCTGATATGTCATGTTCAAAGCGCTTCGAAAGGAGTAAATAAGAGGTTTTTTATTTCATTTGACGTTACTACCGAAATCTATGATGCACCTATATAATAGCTCTATTTTTTAGAAATAAAATTAATATCGAAACATGGCACCAGCTCCAAAAATTTTCATGTTTCTCCCTTAATGTGTAAAAATTATGCTTTAATATCGAATTATCCATCCACTGGGATGTAACAACAAATTTTCTGTATTTAACTTAATGATTCCTTGTCTTAAAACAAGTAATCAATTAAAAAAAAGTATTAAGTATCTGCGTAACGGAAGGTTTAACTGGACCACCTACCTATTGTAACTATCCCCAAGACTCTTCAAGTATGTCCCTTCCTCTGGATGTTGCGATATTCCTCTATTAGCATATTTGTTGTCCAATTGATCAAAGAATTAAAAACTTAATTGGGTAAAACAGCAAAATAAAAGCAACTGCGTCGTCAGTAACAAAGACATAGAAAGGGAATACTTGAAAAATAAATTAACTATGCCCTTTATATTCACCAGCCTCCCAGTTCCCGTTTCGAATCTCCCAACCCTTCGCGTTTCCACACTCTGTGCCGCTGTCATTGTCAATACTCGCTGCCGTCATTGTTGTTTCGCCGTGTCGTTCTGTGTGGGGAATGATGCGCATTGAACTTTTAATTAGCAGACAGGAAGCATAGCCAACGGAGTGGGAGGAGGTACACAAAAAATGAATCAGGTTTTTATGCAACGGAGAAGAATTGTTCAGAAAGAAAGGACAAAGAGCTCTCGGACTATGGGATATCCAATGTAAACAGTTGCGGCATATTGCATAACTGACGGCGATTACTCAGACACATATGTATCTGTGCGGACGTCCTCTGAAAATTTGAGTACAACTGAAACGTGGCACTGATTGATTTATTTTTTAATAAATGTGTTGGCTCTTAGGCATGCCAACTTTCAATTCTTTAATTTTTATATGTATATAAAAAATCTATGTAGTCTACTCTAATATGAATTTGGATTCCGGATTCCGAATTAAGAATCTATGATGAATATAAAGATATTATTCAAATTATTTTAGCTTTCGATTTTTATCGATTTTCATTTCAAAAAATAAATCGATTTATTTGCAGCTCCTGAACTACCTTGCAAACCTCTGGATAAAATAATAATAACTTTGCAAAGGTATAATTACCTACTTACTTTTTATGTTTCACGTCATACCTAAGCCAACCAATTTAAGCGAATAACGGAGTATTTTACTTGTTAACAAACAATCTTTCCTTTTCTCTTAACTGTTATTGTAATGCTATTTTCGATGTATACATCTCTACCAGAAATTTGCAGCAAAGGACTTTGATATTCAAATTTTGCATTCTTTATGTTGTAAACTGGTGTAAAATAAAATTTTAAGTTACATCGCGGAAGTTTTGGCATGTATTTTCGTTAAGATCGGGGGAGTCTATTTAAAATATGTATGTTCGGTCGCCGCCTGACAATTAAAACTGATGGCTCCATACCAAATTCAAATTTAGTTAGTCAACATTCATACAAATTCTAAACATTTTCTGCTTCATCTTTACGGCCACTGACGACATAAGCTATGACTTGAAGGACAACAAACTAGTCAAACCGAGGCGATCCTTTGCCCGTGGACAGAGGTCCAATTTTAGTCCAAACGACCATAATGCGGTGAGGCGGAAAGTCCACTTCTTACAAATCGGCAGCGAGCAAGGCGACCTATTTCGCTCACGAAATTAAAGCGTAAGTAATACAACACAAGTTAAGTAATCGGCTGACAAAGTTAATGCTGATCCGACATTACAATAACATTTTTTACAGTCCAATGATAACCTAAATATATTTGTTGTATGCCGTTGGCTACACTATTTCTTAAGAGAAGTGTGTTCGGTGAAGTATAACATGTCTGCGACGATGGCTCAAATAACAGAAGAAGGAGCCCCAGCGGTGTCTTCAATGGAGGCGAATCCTCCGATGGACCAGGACATTTCAGTAGACCATCAACAGGGTCTACCACAGATTCAATATCTTCAACAGCAATATTATTACGGCGGACCGCAGTCCCCATGGCGAGTCCCATATAACCACCCGTCATGGTGTCCCCGATATGGACATCGACACCATCAATGTTGGTATTGCATGCCTCATGTGAGTCGCCTACAAGTTTGTCATCCCAACTCAGCAATGACGAACAACATAGCCCCATTATTTAGTGAGCTTTCAAATGGAGGTCAGTGTCAGGTGAGTGTAATAAAAAGGCCTTTTGTTTGGTATTAAATGTAATTTATCCTTTCCCATAAACTACCATGGCACAGTGTTGTTCAGCCTGGAAGAATCAGGCCGAACTATCAGCAATACAAGATCGGACCAAAGCCGGCGGCCGTTCATGTCTCACACAAGAAACCTCGGATGCCTGCAGTTTGAATGTGAGCGAAAGCAGCGCAATCTATAAAAACAAAGCCGAATCAAGCAGTCGAGCCTCCAAAAAGTGCAAAGCCAATAATCGAAAGAAGGCCTCTTCAAAGAAGTTAGCCACACAAGGGCAAGATACAGAAGTTGGCAAGAAGCAAATATACAAGGAGAAAGAGGAGGAACCAAGTCTGGAGAATGGAGCAAGCAGCTTAATTGAAATAAAGCCGATTAACAGTCAAGCATTCTCGGCCTGCTCATCTGTCAAAAAGCGCCGATTTTTCAGTCGACTTTTTGGCGGCATAGATTCCCGCCGCCAAGCTCAAACAAAGCCTGCATCCCACGTCCAGGATCCTACGAAAGTGCACTCAGACAACATCGATCACCTTGAGGTTCGCGAAGCCGATGGCTCTAAGAAGCTTCGGGCAGCTAGGCAATCTAAGAAACGCAAGGACAACAATCGTTCAAACGAGAAGTAGAAATGAAACATAAAACGGATAGAAAATTTGGAAATATTTTACAATTGAAATTATAATAATGTAATAAAGACAATAGCCCATATAACAAAGCAAACTATCATGGCTAAACCAACTTTTCGGTTAATGCTGATCTAGAAGGTTGGAGATGCCTGTACATTCACTGTGACACATATGTTCCTAGTTCACTGTTACATATTTTTACATTTTCGGGGTATGTTCCATATTTATTTATACGAAGTAAATGAGATCATTCAAAAGTGATGACTCAAACATTTCTCAGTATACTTTTTGCATAAAAATGAATAAAAACAAGCTCAAACGCAGTATTTTGAGGTCACCAATGCATATTGCAATACTCCTTGATCTGAGGCATTAACGTATTTATGCCTTGGATCATAACTCGCTACATTTGGAGCAGAGGTTGGAAAATATTACCGCAAACCGATCGGCGCAGAAGAAGAACCACACATACCAGGCATATACTCCCAAAATAATTATAAATAACAAAAAATACGAAATTATATTTCTTTGTTTTATTTTCATATACTCGGTTCTGGCTTTTCTTGTGGTTTCTGGTTGGCCATTGTAGTCATTCGAGCTATTAGTTTGCTCAGCTTGTGGTAAAAATTCCAGTAAAAATCTACGTAGAACTTCGGTAAAATCTTCCTTCCCTACGAGAAGGATACTCCAAAAAGCCCTTAAACTGTGCGGCAATCTGCTGATCTCCCAGAGAATACAAGGCGATAGCAATACGCTTATCCAATGGGATAGCGTTCCTAAAATTGGTATCCTATCCAGTTTTTAAGGGGTTATATACAGTTGTGATGATAAAAAAAATCGATTTTTTTTATTGCATATTCTTCAAGTATATACTATTGAGAATACTCTCACAAAAATTCATAAAGATCGTAGCTTTAGAACCGAAGTTGTAGCTATTTATAGCGCACGACCTGCACGTCGGTCGGAACAAACTTGAAACTTTAAACGCGATTATCTCAGAATCGTTTTTTTTCGAAGTTACCTTTGCGGTGGACACGATAACTAAAAAACTATTAATCCGATCAACACCAAATTTTGACCACTTATTTTTTATAACAATAGCTAGTCCTCTAACGAAGAATTTTTTTTTTTTTTTAACTTTTCTTTTTTAGAGCATAAAAATCAAAAATCTTATACCTTGAAAAAGTAAATTTTTTGTTACAACCGTCGCCATTTTTTTTTTAATCAAAATTTTTACAAATCCATGGTCTAGAGGACTAGGCAATACAATATACTAACGAAATTTTTTTGAATTGTTGATTTCGGATGAACCGGGATATGATGTCCACCGCAAGTCACCATCGAAAAAAAGACGATCCATAACATTTTTAATATTTAATATTTTTTTATGAAAAAATTTTATAAAGTACCTAGAAACACGTACTAAACAACGTCGGCAAAACATTTTTGATAAATATTTTTTATGATGTCAAAAAAAAATCGACAAAATTGCATTTTTTTGCGCGGTACAACTGTATATAACCCCTTAAGCCACAGAAATCCATCCACCAAAGAATCGTAATGCACTCTCTCCATGCGAAAGCTTTTCTTTAAGGCTTTGGAATTTTGTGGCATATCTCGTTCCCAAACACAACCACGCTTCTGTAGTTAAGTATAGATGCAGTATTCGTCACGGGTTATTATTATTTGTTACTGACAAACGCCCAGGCTCCCAGGGATTGACGATCCCTTTTATGTGGTGGGAATGAGTCTTCCTCCTAAACAATCGCATTGCATATCTTCATAAGCTCCTTTTCCTCGTCTTCCAAACAAGCCCCGCTGATAATGACTGGGGTGGTCCAACCATCATTCAATATATTAAAATGTGAAGCAGTGGACTATAAGCTATAAAGCATTTGTATCTTATGGTTGGCGTAACTTAAAGTTTCTTAACAGTGCTGTGGTAGGTTAGCCACTTTGGGTTACCCACAGCTCTCAGGCAAAGACATCATGAAACCAAAAACATATTTAATTATTTTACCCGCCAAGGTAACTCGTTTCGATCTTGTACATTTATTTGAGGAGGAAAAACTGTACAAATCGATGGCGAGTCTGTGACGATGCTGGTTAATTAAACGACCATTATAGCTGTTTAATTTTGACATTTCAATAACCATTTTTTATTTCGCCATCGGTAATCTATCAGTTGCATCATTGATACCAAGATAAATTGGACAAAATGATTGTACGGCTGTCACTTGTCTCTTAAGACTTTAAATTTAAAACAAAATAAAATTAAAATAAGCTAAAAATTTTGTTTCTATTGGTTTCCCATTTGAATTTCAAATTCATAGGTTTAACTTCAGAATCAACACATTTATTGTTTTTGGTTGCAATACATGCAGAGTTCGTTATGTGTTCCCACATAATCTGGAATCTGTGTATATGTGTATAATGTCAATGAAAATATAACCTTGTTAGCGTTCTAGGAATATCGGTCGAATATAACCCTTGGCTGACATAAAAATTGCCTGACATATTTCGCAAATGGGCGAGTCAACTGTGCTTGCCGCTCATTATTAAGCTTCCAGAGCAGATGGTGCCATGACAGCTGCAATGATTCGGTGGAGCCCATGCTCAGGTAAGATTTGTCTATGGAGGGGCAAAGCAATTCAGCAGGCACCCAGTTAGCTAGCAGCAAAGGAATGGATATTGAAGGCACTGGAAAGCTGGTTGTCGAATCGAATTTTCAGTCTTCCAAATATGAAAATACCAGAAAATTGCAGGTCTCATACCGTCCTTCCTTCTAGTCCCATGCGGCCTTTTATCCCTCCTCCGGCACCGTTTCCAGCCCACTCTCGCCCACTTCACACTTCACCTTCTCGACTTGACGATGTTACGTTGACAGGCAAACGAGCAATGCGTTTCAAATAGTGCCGACAGTTCTCTCCAAAGTCGTCGCTCATGTCAAACGGCATCAATGTGGAAGCGGGGGTGACGGAAACTGATTGGAAAGGGAATGGAAATGGGAATGGAAATGGGTTGTAGTTGAGAGCAGCAGTAATCGAAGCGTTTCTTAGCCTTCATCTCCCCAAGCACCAAGAACGCGTTTCGATTTCAATAAATTGTATTCAGGTGAGTATTTCGCAAGCACCGAGAAAACCAGTGCACACAAACTGTGTAAATTGATGATAATAAAGAGATAATAACTAAAATCACATATTTTCAAAATTAACACTTTCTAATTTCAACAAAGGACATGTTTGTTCTTAATTTGCAGAATACCTAGTAGACTCAACTCCGGTTTTAGCAAAAAAAAATTTTTAATGCTGCCTGATTTCCCCCACATTTAACTACAGATATCCGTCTAAGTGGTGGTTGGGAGCTTCAAGTAAAACGGAGTCTTCAGTTATTGCTACTGCTAAAAGGTTGCCTCTAGCTATCAAGGAAACCACTTGATTATGAACTGCAACTAACTTCTTTTATCCCAGACCAATCTCCACAAAGTTACTTAGTTAAAGTCTGCACGAAATCAAAGATCAGACTCCTAGACGGACAGACATGTAAACCATCCTAGAGTGCCCGACGGCTTGGGTTAAAAGCGTAAACGATGAAGTTTTGCGCAAGTTGTTCGCAGGGGATACAGAGGCCACCGGTTATTCCTATTTCAGACACATAAGAATTCATGGAAAGTGGAAATACAAAAATGTTAATTTCATATTCCGCGAAGTTAAATCTACACGTACTCTCTTTTTTTGGACCCGAATCGAGTTAACTTATTCTAAAGTTTCGTTATTAATAAATAACATAAAAACACAGAAATACTACATATTTTATATTAACTTAATTTAAGAACCACAATATAATCAGGTTGGCAAAAGTAATTTAAAAATATTGGTAGATTAGCACTGATATTTCTTGAGGACTTTTGTCGGTACTTTTGGCAAAATACGGACTCTGGAAAAGTTTCCGTTCTGTTAGGAAGACTTGAAAGATATTTGTTTGAACTCCAATATACAGAGCGTCAACTTGTATTATATTAATGAACAGACGTATTGATATTTTAGACACGTACAAGAAACATTATGTAGTATTACTTGTCACCACCTTATTTCGAGGCGAGTTTGGTTTAAATCCCTATCATCATCGATAGAAAAGCGTGACCAAGAAGCCTTGAAATCGGCCTTAGAAGAAGTTATGCGAAAAACTTAGCAGGGAAAAGATAAAACAATGAAAAGGCAGTTGAAAAAGTGGTAAAAGCATCATTTATGAGTGTGCAAACAGCACTTGAAAATACATACACAGTCGCACAATCCAGACACTGTGCTTATTGTCTGAATTTGCCTTTGTACCTTGGGCCCCTCAGCGCCCCTGGAAAGCCTCTCCAGCTTGTCTGGTTGATTCTTTCCACTGTCGTCAATTTTTTGCATGCTTTAATGGCACAGTTGAACTTTTTCAGCATTTATTCTGAATGCTTTATAATTTACTTAGAAGGTACGTCGACATCTCCGCGGTTATGCCCATTGTGTGTCAGTCTGTCTGGATTCTTGTTAGGCATTTGGGGCTTATGAAAGAACTCTCACCATTTGTGCATACGAACTCACATTCATATACATTGTAAGTGTGCGGGGCTTGCCTCAGATTAGTAGGCTTATTAAGCCCTAGATTGTGTGCGTTTGTTTGGGTACTTTACGGCGATTTAGATTGAGACTGTCGTATTTATGAACAATTTATTGGGGCCAAGCTGATTTTTTCTCTTCAAAACAAAATAGATCTCCAGAGCTTCGTTGCGTTTAAATCGGTGTATCTAACTCATTTGTATAACCAGTTCATAGGTTAACCAGAAGTCAGAAATCCTTTTAGATTTTTATTTAAACTGTGTGAGCTCCAAGACTATTATTATTCATAAATAGTCAGCAGTAATAAAGTTTAGCTTTCTAAAATTCATTGTAAATTTATTAATACCACTTTCCGTTTTTTTAAGATTTTTGTGTGCTTACATTTAATAATACAAATGAAAAGTTTAAACATGATGCTGATGGTGTAATGCTGATTGCCATTGTTTTATACTACAAATAATAACAATAAAAATAATATCTCAATATATAAAATTAG